CTTTTTCCGTCTTGCTGAAGTGCCACCCTGCATTGCATGTCCCTACACTGATGAAAAAGCATGTACATGCCCATACTTGACCTATGCCCATTCTACCTTTGAAGCATTTTTTAATTATGTTCTGATAATATTGATTTTTGCATGTTATATTGTAGAAATGACATACTCACCTTTCTCCCTGAAGAAGGAATTTATTATTTATTATTTCAGGTACTTATATAGCGCCGTCAATTTACGCAGCGCTTTACATATATATTGTACATTCACATCAGTCCCTAACCCTCAAGGGGCGTACAATCTAAGGTCCTTAACTCACATTCATATATACACATACTAGGGACAATTTAGACAGGAGCCAATTCACCTACCAGCATGTCTTTGGTGTGTGGGAGGAAACCGGAGTACCCGGAGGAAACCCACGCATCAACTGACCAAGCTACATTAAAACATTGGCAGTCATTTTGGTGTATCTTTGTATAAAAGGGTATATGTACATTGTATTGTCATTGGATTGCATGTATGTCACTAATTGGATACAATTTTGACATGTTTTTATAGACCTATGGGTCAATTTTATGCAAATATGTCTACAAAGAAAGATTGACATTTTGTCTTTTAGATGAAACACTAATTTGTTCTGCCTTTTAAAATCCCAGGGGGGTTATAGGTATTCTTTTAGGCTTTATAACTGTATTTTCGGATGTTGGCAGGACATTGTATGCAAATATTCACTTGATCCAGCATTCTTTGTCATTTACACTGACGAAAAAAAGAACTTGTCATTTCTAGCCATGCTGTCTGTATAGATTGAAGCTTGCAGACAGGAATATGGTTTCAGCTTTGCAAACATTTACATTTATGGATTTACTTCGAGCTATCTTTGTAATTGGTATGTGGTCCTAGCTGGAGTAAGAATTGAAGGGCACGCTGTACACTAAACGTCCTTGATTAATGATTTCATAGTCCAGACCCAGGGAGTGCTCTGTAAATATTACACTGTTTCAAAGAATCGCATGGTACTCTTTGTGATGTTTGTTGTTGAACTCCGAACCATTGACCTGGAAACAGCAAAGCCTATGTATATTGTGAATGTATATCGTATAAAATATATAAAGCACGTTGACTAAATATGTATTAACACTTGAGATCAAGGATGTAATAGGAGTGAAAAATACATTTTACTAGATTACTGTAAATATTATTTTATTGTGCTTTTTTATTTAACCAGAATGAAAATATTTGCACAAATTTCACCAATAAATCATCTTAATTTTAGTCAGTTTTAACCATTTGCCCTCCAGAGGATTTCCCCCCCCCTTTTGCGCAGTCATGCAACGCTGCACCCAAATGAAATTTGTCCTTTTTTTTTTTTTTTTCCTACATATGGGAGTTTTCTTTCGGTGGTATTTGATCGCCTTTGATTTTTTTAAAAATGTTTGCACTATAAACAAAAAAAGACTGACAATTTTGAGAAAAATACTATATTTTTTACTTTTTGCTATTAAACATGTCCGGTAAAAAAAATTAAATAATCAAATTTCGTCATACATTTAGGCCAAAATGTATTCTGCTACATGTTTTTGCTGAAACAAAAAAATCCCAATACGTGTAAAGTAATTGGTTTATGTGTGAAAGTTGTAGCATCTACAAATGGTGGTGTGTATATATACTGGAATTTGTTTTTTTTTTATATACTAGTAATGGCGTCGATCAGTGAGTTATTGCAGGACTGCGGCGGGCATTGTGACACGGGGGGGGGGGGAACTGACTGTCACTGACATCCCCAGTGACACTAATACAGTGGCCAGTGCTAATAAAAAGCACTGACACACTACTTATGACACTGAGCAGGAAGCTGTTAACATCTGAGGTAATCAAAGGGTTAACTGTGTGCTGTTTTACTGTGTGCTCTCCCCCGTCAGTGATACTCTGTGATCACCGGGTGCCGGCGGGGAATCACCTGCTTTTTTTTTTTTTTTTGCTATTTGGCACTGCACTACTTTAACTGGCAATTGTGCAGTCATACAACACTGTAGCCAAATTAAATTTATATCTTTTTTTCAAACAAATAGAACTTTCTTTTGGTGGTATTTGATCATCACTGGGTTTTTATTTTTTATTATATAAACAAAAAAAGACCAACATTTTTGAACAAAAAAATTATTTTTTTAATTTCTGCTATAAAACATATCCAATAAAAAATAAAATAAAACATTTTTAATATAAACTTAAGTCAAAATTATTGTATTGTATCCGTCTTTGATAATAACTGTGTATTGATTGGTTTGTGTGAAAGTTATAGCATCTACAAACTATGCTGTATATATACTGGAATTTTTGTTTGTTTATTTATTTTACTAGTACTGATGGTGATCAGCAAATTATAGTGGGACTGTGATAGTGCGGCAGGCAATCTGACACTGGGTGGGAGCTGACTGACACTGACTTCTCCAGTGCCACTAATACAATGATCAGTGATGCGGTTCACTGTACTAATGACACTGGCTGGGAAGGGGTTAACATCTGGGGCAATCAAAGGGTTAACTGTGTGCTTAACAATGTGTAATATGTGCTGCTTTTACTAAGAGCCCTGACTGTTTTTGGGAGTTTTTTTTCTACCTGCTTTGCATACTTACCTGCTCTGTGCAATGGTTTTGTAGTATAGAGTGCCCCTCCTAGCAAGGTAAAAAACAAACTTCTGCCTTTTAGAATCACTATAAATTACTTCCTTCTCCTGCCAATGACTACTTGTCCCATGAGGCATTGCTTCTCACACTAGTTTGCAGGCACGTACTGACAATGTATTTTCTGATATGTAGACAACTAATGCATTCTGTATGCAGGCCAACTAATCGGTTGACCAACTAATCAATTTTGAAAAGAGCTGACACTATTTGACATTGACACGATTATGTTGATTAGTTGTTTCAGCCCTATTTACATCTTCTCTATTTAGAGATGTTGAAGGATATTCTATATCTAACTAATCTCTTTTCTTAAGATGAGCATTGAAAAACGTATGCCATTACCAGTGGTCTCCAAACTGTGGCCCTGGGGACGAATGTGGCCCTTTGCTTGATTCTATCTGGCCCGTGGGCCATTATTCCCCCCACTGTCAGCAAAAGTAGGACATAGTTCCTACCACTGACACCCAATGATGGGGCACTATTCTTCCCATTAACACCAACGATGTAGCACTCTTACTCCCACTGGCACCAACAGTGGGGTAGTATTCTTCCCACTGGCACCAACAATGGGGTACTATTCCTCCCACTGGCACCAACAATGGGGTACTATTCCTCCCCCTGGCGCCAACGATGGGGCACAATTCCTCCCCCTGGCGCCAATGATGGGGCACAATTCCTCCCCCTGGCGCCAACGATGGGGCACAATTCCTCCCCCTGGCGCCAACGATGGGGCACAATTCCTCCCCCTGGCGCCAACGAAAGGGACACTGTTAACTCCCATTGACACAAAGACATTTTCTACTCCTGCTGGCCATAGTCCAGCCCTCCTACAGTTTGATGGACAGTAAATTGGCCCTTCATTTAGAAAGTTTGGAGACCACTGCCATATACAAAACCATTTAAATAAGTGCCCCAGATAAACTGATGTTTTGGGCCTCATGCACACAGGACGTAAAAAATGTCGCTTTTACAGGCATTTTTTTTAAAGCCTCTAAACACAAATCTGTCTATATGGTCATGCACACAAACTCGTTTACAGGCATATTAGAAAAGGAATGTTTAGAGGCTGAAAAAAAAAATATCACGTGTGCGTTCAGGAGAGGAGCATTTGAGCAGAAAAACCACTTCACAGGCCTAAAGTTTAGGCACATTTAGCGCTTCAGCGTTCATTTCAGTGGCCAGAATAAATATTGTGGTCAATGGAATAAACAAACAGCCAAGAACAAAGGTGTTCAGAGAAGTTTGACAAACACTCCAGTGTGCATGAGGCCTGAATGGCATTGTCTTGAGCTGAGAGTGGTGGAGACTTTCTGCGCCTTTTGTTTCACTCATTATTGGCATATACCTAATATTTTAAAATGGTAATCTTGCCTGTATTTTTACTATGTCCTTTAAGTTCACCAGCTGTTATTTGATTAATTTTGAATGCTGATGATGCTGTTAGATATGTAGTTTTGTCATTCTTGTTGGTTTTGATTACTGTTTGTAGTTTTCACTGTATATAATGGGTGCTTCTTCATGCCAGGTTAAGGCCTCATGTACACTGGACGGTTTTATTTAACTCTACTAGAAGCCTTTTCCTGGCAGCAGCGTTTTGGGCAAAAGAAGCCTGAGGCTTGTAAAAGTGTGTAACTCATTTACAGGCTTCAAGTGTTCGGGCATTATTTCAATTCATTGGCCAGAATAAGTAATTTATTCTGGCCATTGAAATGAATTAACAATCAAGCGATAAATGCACCTAACATTAATGCGCGTTTAGACACATTTCCTCATGGCAGGCATCAATTTCTGATTAAAAAAAAATCTGGTTCTCCTGGACACAGTGGCCCTGGGTTTTTTTCCTGCGTCTAAACTCTCCTGCTACTAAAAACTTCTAAATGTTTGTGTGTATGGACACATAGGTTAACATTCAGGGAAGTTTAGAGGCAGGAAAAAAAAAAAGTCAGACACTCCTAGGAGGAGCTGTAAAACCGTCATAAATAACGCCTATATCTAAGCAGCTCAATCTGTTGTCTTAATTGTACTGTGTGTAGACATTACACCACCAAAACTTGTGTTTTCATTAATGTGTGATACCAGAATATCTATGTGACATTTGTGGCCTGAAACTTATCCGTGGGTTTATTATATAATCCTATCGTGTGTGTGTGTGTGTGTGTGTGTGTGTGCACGGCTTATGTTTTTTTGGTTTAGCCTATTAGGCCACATATTGGTTTATGTGTTTTATATGAAATATTTCAGTCTGCATTGTCTTTGTGGGTAAAAAAAAAGTCCACCCAAACTAACCCAAAATGATTTGTCTGTTATGTATAGGTGTGCAGGTTTCAGAAAATACAAGGCAGAGAAAGAGAGGAAGAGCTCCCCAGGTAGTGTGGGCAAGGGTCCCCGAGAGAATGAACGCTGCCAAGCAAGTGATATCTCCAGTGCCTTGGCAGACTTGTCCATGGCTGCAGTGGTGGCTCTTGGTACATCTGAGCCAGGTTTAGTTAATCCAGCTTTTGATGAACATGATGATGGTGAGTTGTTTTATCAGGATTTAAAGTATTTTTCCTCCTACTTTCCTGCAATATTGTGGGGGAACTTTTATCTATTGTAACCTGATTTCCATTCTCTCAGATCAACCTCACAGAACAAGTCTTGTAGCAGAGACAAGCAACATAGAAATACATCGTGATGACCAAGAGGAGGAGCTTGGTATGCGCATTGTGGGGGGCAGAGACACTCCTTTGGGCAATATTGTGGTGCAGGAGGTGCTAAAAGACTCATTGATTGCTACTGATGGCAAAATTATGCCAGGAGACCATATCCTAGAGGTAAGAAAGCTGTACAACTGCATACAGTATATTTAGCAAAGTGGCATTTTTTTAAAGTGTAACTTCTAACGATTAACTTCTTTTACTTGCTCCCTTTTGATCTGTTAAAGTGATATTAAAGGTTCTTTTTTTTTTTCAATAACAAACATGTTCTACTTACCTGCTCTGTGCAATGTTTTTGCACTGAGCAGCTCCAATCCTCCTCTTTTCAGGTCCCCCGCTGGCCTCCAGACTCCTCTCTCCTGCCTAGTGCCCTCATAGCAAGCAGCTTGCCATGGAGGCAGCTGAGCAGGCTTGCTCCCAAGCCGCTACTCTGAGTGTCCATTCACACACATAGCATGTTTCGGCCCTACCCCCAATCTTTCCTCATTGACTCACTGGCTGTGATTGACAGTAGCAGGAGCCAATGGCTACTGCTGCTGTCTCAACCAAAGAGGAGGGAGAGACCAGGGAGAGCTGCGGCTATCGTGCACATCGGTGGATGGAGATGGGACTCCGGTAAGTTTACAACCACTTTAATGATACAATTGAAAGCATTTTGTTATGTCTGTGAAGTGCACAATATACCTGGTGATCCAGAAATCCAGTGAACTCCTAACTTTCTGTAGCGATATGACAGTGATGCACCGAACTCTTGGACATCGTTATCAGACCTGTCTAGTTTTGTATTTATAATGAAGATGAGGAGAAGTGGAGTTTTTCTGTTATCTAAATCAAGAGCGAGCAGCCTAGGATAACAACCCTGTTCTCCATTTGTGAACATTATCACCCTAAGTGTCAATTCACACCAGCAACGGCAGTTGTGCAGTGTGATGCAGCAGGACAACTGCAGTGCTGACGCATCAATCCCAGCAAATCGCAGTGTTCTCATTTTTTTCTTTTTTACTCAGACAAGCTTTATTGAAATGTCATGCAAATTACATTTGATAAAGTTCTATTGGCCACCTCATGGTGCGAGGAGATGGTTTACCTTGCATTGCGCTGCACTGAAATTAAGTACAGCCTGCCATGCTTTTTTTTTTTTTTTTTTCTTTTCAGCATACATAGTACAGAGTACATAGGGACTACTCACTTTGCCTCGTCTTGCGGAGGGACTGTGGTTGAATAGCTGCTCACTGCAGTCCCACCACACCTGGTGTGAATTGTCCCTAAGGAAGTGTGTTACTGGCATGTCTTCAATTTACATTATGTTGTACAGTGAAACTTTCTTTTTTTTTTTTTTTTCTTTTTTATTTGTCACATTTATACAGGAGAAAATACGGGGAAAAAATTTTTAATCTGTTCTTAGGGCCATATTAAATTCCCCTGATTTGGTTTTCAGTAACTTTAAATGCTAAAACTGCTAAGTAAAGAATTACATCCATTCACACTGTCAGTGTCAAACCTGCATTTAGGGGACATTTCTAAACATATATAAATGCCAGTAATGATCTTTCAATGATGCCATTCACATTGATCGTCTACCTGTGTTTAGGTGCAGTTTAGCAATGTTTAGAGATATTAGACTCTTTTGCTTCCAGGATCTCATAAGAAACTCTAAATACAGCAAACGTATGCAGATGGTTAAATTGTACATCCAAGATCACTTTTGAATTTAAAAGTAGAAGCACTAGTGTGAATGAGTAAGAGGGACACACATTATCTAAAAACAGCTGGCCAGTTAGAGGGCTAGGAATTCTATGAAATCCTTTCTACAACTGTACTGGTAAATTATTATTTCATGTACCATGGCAATAGTTTGTTTATTTGACTGTTATGGACAAATTATAGACACCTGCAGTTCAAGAGGAAAAGGTCCTATTTAATAAACAAAAAAAAAAAAAAAAAAAAAAAAACATAGCAGTAAATACAAAAATGTAACCAAACCAAGTTGCTTGGCCATTTGTAGAACAAAAGGGTTTGGAACTTCTGTGGTTTAAAAATTAGTATTTTGATATTTTATAAATATAAATATGCTCAGTGACAATTAATAAAAGGAACCTTTCATTATATAATAATTTCAAAAATCCAAAATCTATAATTTTTCAAATTAAAGTCCAATTTCAAATTAAAGTCCAATATCACAATAAAATAAATAAATAAATACGTGTAGTCCAAAAAATTGATTCAAGTGTAAAAAACTCTCCGCTGCTTGCAAAACCTTGATTACCTCAAAAAAAAACAAAATATACATAGTGCATTATCCTTTATAAATAAAAAATTTACATGTGAAATCAATCCGATAATATTCACCCAAGTGAAAACACGTGTATATATCAAACCACATACACATGCGATATACTGTGCAAAACCATGCATGTGAAATACTCTACTGTGCTAAAAACTCATGACACAGTGCACACTTCTATCAGGGTAAGGAGTGAATACCCTTACCAATATTCAAAGCAATTTATGTTTTTGATCTCAATCCACAGAAATTGCCTGGTGATATAAATCCTTTTGAAGATGTCCTCAGGGTTTGCTTTGATCCTATGATACTGTATGGATCCTTCCACCCTAGCAACTCAGATATGTTTCCACCATATACGCCAGTCAGATACCCATAGATAAGGAACAAATCATAGCGTGATACTGCCACATACTAAGATCCAAAACTTTTAATTATCCTGCTTACATTAAAAACATCTTTCCATCGCACATAGCATATAAAGACCTGTCTGCCATCCGGAATCCAGGAGAGTCCTAATCGCAAGTCACAGCCGATTTTTTTGCCCTCTCCAAGATGGCCGCCACTCCACTTCCGATATTCTCGTATGCGTCTGACGTCATCTCCCTTTGACACGTTTCGTCATTGGACGTAATCATAAAGGGTTACGTCCAAATCATAAATGATTACGTCCAATGACGAAACGCGTCAAAGGGAGGTGACGTCAGACGCATACGAGAATATCGGAAGTGGAGTGGCGGCCATCTTGGAGAGGGCAAAAAATCGGCTGTGACTTGCGATTAGGACTCTCCTGGATTCCGGATGGCAGACAGGTCTTTATATGCTATGTGCGATGGAAAGATGTTTTTAATGTAAGCAGGATAATTAAAAGTTTTGGATCTTAGTATGTGGCAGTATCACGCTATGATTTGTTCCTTATCTATGGGTATCTGACTGGCGTATATGGTGGAAACCTATCTGAGTTGCTAGGGTGGAAGGATCCATACAGTATCATAGGATCAAAGCAAACCCTGAGGACATCTTCAAAAGGATTTATATCACCAGGCAATTTCTGTGGATTGAGATCAAAAACATAAATTGCTTTGAATATTGGTAAGGGTATTCACTCCTTACCCTGATAGAAGTGTGCACTGTGTCATGAGTTTTTAGCACAGTAGAGTATTTCACATGCATGGTTTTGCACAGTATATCGCATGTGTATGTGGTTTGATATATACACGTGTTTTCACTTGGGTGAATATTATCGGATTGATTTCACATGTAAATTTTTATTTATAAAGGATAATGCACTATGTATATTTTGTTTTTTTTGAGGTAATCAAGGTTTTGCAAGCAGCGGAGAGTTTTTTACACTTGAATCAATTTTTTGGACTACACGTATTTATTTACTTATTTTATTGTGATATTGGACTTTAATTTGAAATTGGACTTTAATTTGAAAAATTATAGATTTTGGATTTTTGAAATTATTATATAATGAAAGGTTCCTTTTATTAATTGTCACTGAGCATATTTATATTTGCACACCTCTAAGGGTAGAGGTGAAGTGTGCTTACAAAGAGTTGGGGCGAATTAGTGATTTACATTTATTATATTTTGATATTTTGTTTTATGTGTTTATGGTAAAATAATAATGTAAAAAGATCATGTGTGTAACTGAATAAGGTAAAACCGCATTAAGTTAATAATTTTGTTATTATTGTGTTCCGGCTATGCAATGGAAATAGTGGTTAAATATTTTACAAGATAACCGCAAACTTTGTACACGTGACCGTGTTGTCTGTATTTTGCAGTCGCTAATAAGTCGTCTTTTGCTTTTCACCTAAAACTTGTCACACATTCACAGGGCTGCAGGCGTATTAAGACTATCTGGGGAGGGTCCAGGTTTTGAATGTGACACTAGTCACTCTAAGCTTGGTTGAATACAGATTAGAGCAAACAGGTTTAACATTGGATCTGCAGCTGACTATACACGATTCGGCTGCCTATCTCTGGACCATATTAAGGCTGTCTGATCATACAGATCATGTGTGAAGCCAATTCTGACAGATGAGAAGGTTTGGCACCTAAGCATAACCTCTGGTTTGTACATGAGACTGCAGATCGCTGCTTGTATTAAACCTTAATCTAGCTGATAACTGGCTAGTTCATTAGAGTATTGGGTGGTATTATATTGTAAATAGCAATGTAGTTATCAGGTACACTAGCTGATGGTTAGAAAACTTTCACCTGTACACAATTCATGCATCCAGTGAAATATAATATGTCTTCCGTGATGTACTGAGATTTGTCATTAGTGTCCGATTTCTCACTGCAAGCTAAATTTTGAGATTTTATGTCCTGTAATACAATTGAAGTGTATTTAAAGTCAAACCTTTTTTATAGAGTAGGGTTTTTTTTTCCTTTCTGTGCCTCTTCCAAGAGATTCATTTTACTTCCTGTCCCAGAAATACAGCAGGAGTTAAGAGGAGAACTCTCCAAAGCAAGCTAATAACCCCTCTGAGATGGCTGTCACCAAGAATATTGGGTTCCCCATTAGAATATTGCTCTCACCTCCTGTTCTTGTGACAATGTAAACATTTTGGATTTTCTATTGAATTCTGTAGTGATGACCAAGTTCCCTAGGATCAATAGTGAGACTAAATCTCCCCAACATGGACGCACAAAAAACTGAAAGTGGTTCTAATCGCTCACCATTCTATCCAAGACTAAATACAAAAAGGTTTTGGCTTTACATACACTTCTCAGTATAGATGGACACACTTGTTTTAAATGCCATTTGCAGTCCATGTATGGGAAGGCTGGTTGTACAGAACTTCTGTACAAGTAGCTTGTTGACTTTTTCCCCCAAATGATCAGTGCCGCTGGCTATGGCCAACAGCACTGATCACTGTATTGTGACGGCAGGGAAGTCTTCCCACTGTCAGACCACAATAACTCTGGGAGTGATTCCCCTACTCACATCAAATGTGTGGATAGGGGAATTGGCTGATTTTTTTTTTCTCTTTTAATTCAACCATTTGATTAATGCATGGCCTGCCTTAGGGCAGTATTATGCTGATGAATATATTAATGAGGTTCAGAGCTACAGAAAGATAATTGTGTATATTTCCTAATTATTGTAAAACAATATAATCAGATCCTATGAACAGATAACTATAGCATTATGTACCATGATAAATAAAGGAGTGCCTCTGGAATAGAGTTGAAGATCAAAGTGAGTCACGGCTCTGTCTGTATTGTAGGTTTTGTAAATGACCACTGTTTATGTTGGAACCAATGCCACGTTCTATTGTTCATTAAACAATGTTGCAGGAAGGTATTACAGAATACTTTGCATGAATTTGAATCATGTCAAAGAGTAAAATTGGCCATACCCTGATGAAGATACCCCCCAGGGCTTTGTATTCTGATCATCGCCCCCCCACTGCTATTAGAATACACTGATTAGTGGCTGCAGTTGCTGATTGAGAAAAGTTTTCCAACATGTCCGTTCAACAGAAGCTGCCCAAACAAATGACTTTATCGAGCAGAGGCTGACACACTCTTATCAAAATTGGGCTGGTACAGTGGGAATCTCCACCAGCATATGGCCAACTTTAATCCTTAAAGTAACTAACAAAATAAAATATAAAGGTAACCGTAGAAGAACAGATGACCAGTTTTAAGACATCTGCCTATCTTTGAGTGGTTTATAATTTACTGGAACTAGCTGTTGCTTTCTTTCTAAATTATTAACACAAGCTTGATAAATGTCTTCTTGCAGTAGCAATTGATTTAAAAGGGAAGTATGACCAATGATTTTTTGGCCATACTTTTTTTTGTTTGTCACAGGACTGCACTTACCTTTTGCTCTCCTGGGACAAAGAATCAGCCTACAACAGGCTAAAGCCCGCTGTACGCTGACGTCACAAAACTGCTGCAGGCTCTGGCAGGATCCCAACCATATTGTCAAGGTCCACCTAGCTGCCTGACTGACAACTGGCTCCAGCTCTAAGGGCATGACTTAGAACAAAGCAAGCTGCACCCTCCCCCTCTGCAGCCTGGTTCTCCAGTGAGTTCTGGAGGGGCATTGCGGAGAGCAGGTTACTGACAGTCACCTTTCTCCACAATGAGAAGACTAAAAGCTGAGCCATCAGCAGTCATGTGCTTGCTCTGTTCTTGGTTTTAAAGTTGACATGGGCCAGCTGCTGCATTGAGGGAAGTATGCATGTTTGTTTTTTTTATTGACCCCCATGCAGCTCCTTTAAGGAGTTGAATGCGCTTGATACTGAACCTCTATGTAGCTGAACTATTGCAAGAAGTAATCAAACTTGGTCACAGCTCTTGCTTTTACTGGGCTATGTATGATCAACCTTAAATGCAAATGGTAATTCAGTTTGAACTCCAGGAATTAATCGTATTGCATACTTACATTGGTCTAGCTTGGAACATTGTAAGTATGCATATCCTATACCTAATGGACTGCTGAGGAAGATGGAAATTTATTGTAATTGTTGGTGCTACTACAGTGATGGCTGCAATGTTCTGGGTCAGGCTCAGATTCTATGCGAGTGACTGCCTTACTGCACACTGATCACAGGGAGTCACTTGCTCAGCAGTGCTGCCAATCTATAGACTGCCTTATATTTTCTTTTCTTTTTTCTCTAAATGGATGACGTGATGAGGAGGGGCGGTGATGTCACGATCTCCACACCATCCAATCAGAGAAGGCTTGTATTTATTTAAAAAATATTAGGTGTTCAATGAATGGTGGCTGTGCTGAACAGGCAACATCCTGTAGCCAGCGTTCAGTGGGCAGATGTTCGCATGGAACTTGAGGGCATTCGTGTCGACAACGTCCGTGATTTTCAGCTTCCCCAGTGGTCCATCAGGTATAAGATATGCATACTTCTGTTGTGCCAAGCTGAACCAATGGAAGTATGCAATACAAATAACTCCTGGAGCTCAGCATTAATATTTAAATGTATTTTAGTGCTTTATTGTGTGATAGTAGTCAGCAGCATTTTTTCATCTTGATATTAATTACATTTTTCATGTTTATCCCCTGCATATCCCAGGTCAATGGCATGAATATTAGCAATGTATCTCACAGCCAAGCTATTGCTTTGCTCCGCCAGCCCTCCTCTGTCCTGTATCTCACGGTGTTGCAAGAGAAAGGCTTCTCTCAGAGGTCTCAGCGTACGGAGAGTGGTACCACACTCAGTCTTGGCAAGGAGGTAATTCAAGTTGCATTGATGAAGCGGGATCGGTCTGAACCTCTAGGAATTAAGCTGGTCAGGAAGACAGAAGAACCTGGAGTTTTTGTTCTGGATTTGTTAGATGGAGGACTGGCTTCAAAGGATGGGAGGTTGAAGTGTAATGATAAGGTGCTGTCTATCAATGGCCATGATCTCAGACAAGGAACTCCAGAGACAGCAGCACAGATCATTCAGGTAATCTTACAAAGAGACAAGACCAGAAAAACCTGTCTGTGTGTTTTTGTGTAGAAGCCTCACTGAATTATGGTTGAGTTTAAGAATATATTATTACTATCAGAAATGTAGAATTTCATTATGCACTCCCTGCTTGAGAGTTACATAGCACTAAACGTAACAGATATGTGAACTGATGTGGGGAGGACACGTCAAATACAGGAAGTATGCCTTCAACTACACAGCTACAGATAGCTCACATTCAACATCAGCAGGACAAGTGTGTTTTCCATTGCTCATTTAAAATTTAACAATTTATAGAATATTGATGTGTCCCAAGTGGAGCATTATTGTTGAAAAGGGCTCATCTCCTAGCTGTTGGTGTGTATTGCCACCCACAATCACCTGTGTCCCCCAGTATTCATGTAAATACATAGGCAGAGGAGAGACAAAGCAATTGCAGGCATCTCCTAAACCATATTGTGGGTGAAACAGTGGCATCAGACAATTTTTCACCTCAGCAATCATTTCCAATCGTTATTTGACTAAGACCGTTGGCTAGAAAGGTCTTTTAGTAACCATAAATGCAGGATTAAAATAAAATCAGAAATGGTGTCGCGCTCCACTACCAATTGCAAAAATGTGAATAAATAAATAACAGTCCAGCTCCGAAAGAGTGCATAATGATATATCTGCAATTATATTACTGTTGCAAACATGTCCTTAATAAATCCGTGACCTTGATACGGACCATTTTCCATGATGAAGCCACATGACCAGGATTGCGACATTATTTCTGATTTGATTTTATTCTCTATGACACAATGGTATGAGTATGTGTAGAGTGTAGGCGAACCACTAATTTTCACAAATTTTTTTACACAATTTTTATGATAATTTCATTTTCAATATTGTATTGATTTCATCACACAGTATTGGTAATATTTTTTTTACAATATAAAATGGGTATAGGCTTCCTGAAAGAAAAGGTTCGTAGAGGCTAACATTACTGATGTCACCTTCTGAAAATACTAGTTCCCTGTTTATCAGGGTGATCCATTGTTTTTCTTTTTAAGATGATGTTTTTATGGCTGTCCCTGTGATAACTTCCCCCCTGATTTCTTGTACAGGTGTCACAGGAACAAGAAGTGATAGAAAATCTCTCCACTGGGGTCAAAGACAGAAATAAAAATCTTTCAGAATTACAAAGTCTTTTTTTACATGAAAAATAGTTGGGGTTAGGATTGAATTCAGGGCTGGCCACATCCTTTAATTTTTTGTTTCCTTCCAGTTTACCCATACACTGTACAATGTATGCTGCATCTAAGCAAGTTAAAACTAGTTAGATAGATGCTGCCCTGGATAAGAGGGTAGGGGTTAAAGCCTTTCCCAGTTTAGCAGGATCCTTTGTTGCCACACTGCACCTGTGATATAAAAAGGGACAGTGGGCCAAGTCAGGGGGGTTCGTAGTGTGATTGCTTGGTCCTGCTTCTTCTTGTGTTCCGCTGTCTTGCCCATTTTCCCGGGTCCCTGAAGATGCCACAGTCAGTCACCAAGATATAAAGTCATCAGAGCCTGGGGTCGCGCTGAAGACACCAGCTGCTGGAGAATGGCTCTGATAGACTCTGGAATTACATGGACCCTACCTATGCAGGTACGTTGGGGCAGCGCAAAGCCTTGTTAGGAGTAGTAACTAGGGATTTAGGGATGTTGACCGTTTTGTTGAAGTTCTGTTGGACTATCTTGTCTGCTTTGGACTCTTCTGTAATATTGCACTTTAACTCGCGTAAAATGTTAAACCTTGCCTTCTGCCTGGTCTGAAGTCCTTGAAAGGGGTGCACTGTAAGTAACTGGCATTATCACACACTGTTAAGTTTGGATCTCTAGCACTTGAGGTATGAAATAGTCAGCATGTTAAGAGTCACCTTAATGCACGTTATATGTGTGATTGCCATGAACAACGAAGGTACAATTAGCAAACAGCCTGTTGGAACATGTGCCTTTTAGAAATGGGAACCGCTGGACAAGGCGGCTGAGGTCCGTGTTTGGCACAGCAGTGGGAAGATATACATTTACACTGGTACCCGAGAGTAACTGAAGAACAGTTGTTGTACAGGTGTACATGGTGTACGTTCCCCGCTAAGAGTAGAGGCCCGCCTTAAGGTTGAGCCTTGTCCCAGGGCATTGGTGAAAATGGCATTGAGCAAAGGTACCCCATGTGTGTGAAGCAGAGAGAGACCTTGCACAAGGTGCCTAGTGGTGTAGCCCAGAAGAACCCAGCCCGGAGTAGGCCTCTAATGTTTACCAGACTTGGCACCCAATTGGAAAACATGGAGGATGTGACAAACAACCACCACCCTGCTGTCATCTTACATGCATGAACACCTGCATACTTTCAACTACTTCCATAATGGGGAAATCAGATGACCGACAAATTAAATCTCATTGTGTTAGATGCTAGTCAGCAGTATTTTCTATGCTACAGTTTTTTGTGTCTCTCACACCTCTGATATTCATATAAAGGTAGCAGAGTAAAATCTTTAACAGGTGTATTTATTTATGTTTTTGTTTTATGTACATTTTAAACCAGTATGAAAACAAGTTAACCTCAAGTTACCTCAACATATGGATGTAAATGGTGCTTTTTTTGCTGTTTTCCAGATGAGCGAGGCACGAGTGAACTTTGTGGTCCTCAGACAAACCACACCACAGCCCATAGATGTAGAAGAGGGGACTTCATCAGGAAGCAGCAGTAGCAGTAGCAATGGAGGAAGCCCTGTGCATGCACGCAGGAGGCAGAGTCAGCGGTCATGCCAGAGGAGATCCACACAGCAGAGGGTAAATTAATACATTTTCTAGGAATCTATCACAAGAGAATATGATCTGTTTACAGCCTGTTCTAGAAATGAAAAGAGTAACTGGTTTAAGAACTATTTATGGAAAATTGGAACATTTTGTTGTGTGGATGCCTGTGTGTGTAGTTGTTGTGTGACATCCATTGTTCTTCACATAGTCCAAAAGAATGCAGAACATACAGATATTACAAAGTAAACCTCTTGTAGATTGCCAATTCATGCTTGAACCTGGGTGTCGTTGATTGGCTACATCTTAACTCTGTGTATCTTGCAGTAACATTCAGCACCCACATCAATCTACATTAATTTGCAACATTAGAACTTTAGTTCATCCTCTAAAGCTATACATTCTTAGTGCATGGGATCATGCCACATTGACTACCTTAGTTCCCTGTGAATTCATTGGATGTGTTCTCAAATACTTGGCAGTCTTAAATCAACTAAATTTAAAACATAACTGGACCCTTGCCATGACGTCCTAATATAGGGTATTTTCAGTGTGAAAATGGCATTCTCTATTGTCAGGATGAGTGATTTTGGGCAGAATTGATTTTACTATGACACTTCATTAAAACAAACACTCTTCTATATATATCTATCTATCTATATATATATATATATATATATATATATTCCAAAAGAGAGCAAAACTCACAGGTCTTGAGGGGTGAAAGCACAGTGAAAATTTTATTTCAACGAAACACATGTCCTAAGTTTCTTTGGACTGCATGTACTACAGACTTTGCTATCCACCCAGGCCCATTTTTTTTTATCTCTGTGTGCAGTGGCAACCACTGGATTAAAAAAAAAAATAAAAATATATATATACATATTTATATTCACACACACTGTATATACACTTTATTTAGAGTTTTTTTTTTTGGGGGGGGGGGGGGTTCGAAGGGTGCAGGGGTTAGGGGTAGGTTAGTATTTTTTTTTTTGTATATTTGATCATTGTTCATGTACGGTTAGTTTAAAGTATAACTAAAGGCAAAATGTTTTTCTTAGTTTTGGATCGAGTGGAGAGGGTTCAGAACACATGCCAGGTTTATTTTAACACCAAGAGTGAAAGTGAGAGATAATCCCATATTTTGAGTTGTTACCAGAACAAGAAAAAGATGAATCTTCCAATGGGGACACTACTTCTGGTGACAACCAGGTATTTCTCTCACTTTGCAGGATTTCCTATCAATTCTTGTTGTGGCTGATGGTACAGGAAGCAAAGGGAAATCTCTAGAATGGAAGAAAGTTAGCAAAAATCTGACAGGGGTTCTAACCCTTCCTTATTCTACTCAAAATGAGAAAAAAAAATTTTTTTGGCTTGTGTTCTACTTTATATGTCTGAGGCAAAAAAAAAAAAATAAGGGGCTATTTTGGCACAAGAACAAAGGTTCAGGATTGTTCAAAGGAACTTCAGTAACGTTTTGGAGCACCCTTAACAAAAACCACCTTATTTTACCTTTCCCAATGACTCCTATGTATTTGAACAAAGTGGCAAACTTGTTGAATTCTTTTGATTTTCACTGAAATTTTAAGGAGATAAAAACTTAATTTTGCTCATCTTTGTTTTTCAGTTTAAGCACTAAACTGACAATCATTTAAAAAATTATTTTTAATTCATTGGAAGGCTAGTTTTTTACATGTATAGAGAGGTAAGTTTATTTATAGATATAGACCTGCTGAGTCTTAACGTATATTTGTTTTGTTACTGCTATGCACAAAATATAGGATCAACTTCCACTACTTTCGGGCCTAGAGAAGACTGTTACACTGAAGAAAGAGCCAAGAGAATCTCTGGGAATTACTATAGGAGGAGGCCGTGACCATAGAAATAGGCTCCCCATCTATGTGTCCAGTGTTCAGCCAGTTGGCTGTCTATTCAGGGATGGCAGAATAAAAAAAGGTAAAAATGTGTCTCGCTTTTTTATTGCATTTATTGTTGCAAATCACTTTTAGGGGCCAGGTTTTTTACATTCCACATAGATATTGAGTACACATTTTGCACAGCATAGAAAAGTTAAAAAAAAAAAAAAATATATATATATATCTATATATATATATATATATATATATATATATATATATATGTATATATAAAACAGTTGGCCTATACTTGAAGTGTAAAACTACATTTTGAAGAACTATTATTTTTTATTTTTGGATAACATATGGAAGAAATGTTTTGTAGCCATTTGTGTTCCCAAAGGGAGAGATGTATGCTCTTTTCTTGTCCTAGAGGTAGAAAGTAAGGGGATAGCACCCTTAAGTGACAGGAAATCCCACCTTTAAACAGCAGTACCTGTAAGGGGTCCTCAGTGGGAGATTTCCACTCTACTCCTGTTCTGATGACAACAATCAGAAGATAACCTTCTTAAGGTTGGCTCACTTTTTCTGAATTTATGTTTTCACAAAATTCCCTATGCACTCGAGGATCCCCAGCACATTACATACCATTGCTCAGCCAGTAAAAAAAAAGTGCTTATTTCCCCATTTATATGTGTAGGCCGTGCACAGTCTTGTCAGAAAAAACTCTTTGATGCTAGACCACCCTCCATCTTGTCTAAATGTCAGGACAGGCAGGATGTTGGAAGTACACCCCCATGGATTTGAATCATTCAAACTGCGCACATACTGTTCATCCTGCTGGAGTCACAATCGCCACGAAAAACGGTGGGTGCCTTAAATATATGCTGAGCTGCACATGCAGCTAACAGGCACAGGGAAGCATTATGAGAGAAGAGATCGCTAGGGTCTCTTCTGTCTCATAAAAACCTTGCCTGTCAGCAAATTTTTTAAAAGTGGGGTTGATCCCACCTTAAGATGCAAACGTGTACAAATTTCACTGGTTATAGGATAAATACACATATCTGCATCTACATTGATTATCTCTGAGCATGTGTGTAATTAATTGTTTATAAATTTACATGTAGCGCTCTCCTAGATAGGTGCCAGGATTAGGTAGATTTTGTTCTAGCACACTGTGTTCAGTGGAGCTGCGTTTGTTGTTAAGTTAATTTAGTTTACCTCACTGCAATCAGTGTGGCTGAGATTCCTGTGTTAGGCTAATTTAGTTCTAGCTCACTGTAGTCAGTGCAGGTGAATGGTTAGGTCTGTTCTGTCTCAGAGGCTGTTGTTTTGATTGCTCTCTCCCTGTCTTGTCTGAACTCTCAAGTTAGTTCTGGAAGGTGTGGAGTAATAATAAGCAGCATGAATATTTATGCCATTTCTGCCAATCTTGGTAAAGCCCTGTACAAGCATCTGCTGGAAAAGGGTATAAATAATCTGAGATCCAGAGTGATCTTGTCTTGTGCTAGAGAGGGGAAGTCCAGTGTAGAGGGCATGCTGCCATCCTGGGCAACCAGTGTGTGCTTCTGCTGCTCATCAAGGTCCCAGGCCTGCTGGTTTGGTGCCCCATTCTACAGTTACATTGCTGAAGCTGACCAAGAGGATTTGTTCTCTTTGGGGATTTATTTTGGTATCACTGAAAAATGAGTCCTGAAGATATTGGAAGGAGGCAGCCATTTATTTAAGGGTTTTTAGTGAGTACAGACCTGCGTGAGAGTTCTCTGAGACTGTGTGCTACTATACCTTGAAATAGAGTCAGCGTATATCAGTTCTACCTAAGGGAAATGCACTATTATAGTGTTCCTGAAAAGCTCAGCCCAATGTTTGCTGTAAGCAAGGACTCATGATCTTGTTGTTGCAGCAAGTTGTTACTGGAGTATCCTACAGTCAACCGTTACCTATCCAATTTCGAGTTTCATAAAGCTTTAACCAGCTGCCGAATGACGGCTTCACTGCGGCCGGCCAGTTCTGGGTGGACGTCATATGACGTCCTCCCAGAACGCGCTCTCCTGGGGCGCGCACCCGGCGATCTCCGTGATCACTGTGTCCTACGGACACAGCTGATCACGTGATGTGGTAAAAGGCCAATCACAGCGGCCTTTTACCACGTGATCAGCGGTGTCCAATGACATGCTGATCAGAGGGAAATGCAAGTGCCGCTTCTCGGCTGCACTTTCCTCACGCTGTCAGATCGTGAGGAAAGTACTGCCGAGAACCGGCAGTTGTCAGAGCGGGGATCGGCACCGATCATCAGGGCACTGATGATCAGTGCCCTGATGATCGGTGCCCAGCAGTGCCACCCGCAAGTTCTGCCCAGCAGTGCGCCCACTAGCTCCGCCCACCCGTGCCCATCAGTGCACCCACCTGTGCCCAGCAGTGCACCCACCTGTGCCACTCTGCAGTGCCACCTACCTGTGCCCAGAAGTGCCACCTACATGTGCCCAGCAGTGCCACCCACCTGTGCCCACCCACCTGTGCCCACCAGTGCCACCCACCTGTGCCCACCCACCAGTGCTGCCCACCAGTGCAGCCCAGCAGTGCTGCCAGTCAGTGCCCCCAGTCAGTGCCCAGGGGTTGTGCCAGTCAGTGCTACTAGTCAGTGCCCAGCAGTGATGCCAGTCAGTGCCGTCTATCAGTACCCATCATCAGTGTCACCTATCAGTGCCGCCTATCAGTGCTGCATATTAGTGCCGCCTATTCGTGACCCCTAATTAGTGCTGTCTATCGGTGCCGCCTATCCGTGCCACCTCATTAGTACTGCCTATCAGTGCCCTTTAGTGCTGCCTATCAGTGCCCATCAGTGCCGCCTATCAGTGCCCATCATTGCTGCCTCATCAACGCACATCAGTGAAGGAGAAAAAATACCTGTTTGAAAAATTTTATAAAAGAAACAAATAAACTTTTTTTTTTTTTTTTCAAATTTTTTGCACTTTTTTTATTTATAGTGCAAAAAGTAAAGCGCCCAGTGGCGATTAAATACCACCAAAAGAAAGCTCTATTTGTGAGAAAAAAATGATCAAAATTTCATATAGGTACAATGTTGCATGACCGCGCAATTGTCAATCAAAGTGCGGCAGCGCTGAAAGCTGAAAATTGGCCTGGTAAAGAAGGGGGTATAAATGCCTGGTAGGCAAGTGGTTAAAGAAAGCTTACCTGTGGACTGGTTAATGAGCCTGAAGAGTGACTGGAATTGTGTTGTTTGCAGTGCAACTACTGGGGAAAGAACCTTGGGCATAGATACAGCGAGCCCTTGAGGAGGTGAGTATTACATATACAGTGGATATAAAAAGTCTACACACCCCTGTTAAATGTCAGGTTTCTGTGATGTAAAAAAAATGAGACAAAGATAAATCATGTCAGAACATTTTCCACCTTTTAATGTGACCTATAAACTGTACAACTCAATTGAAAAACAAACTGAATTTTTTTTAATGGGGCAGGGGGGAGTAAACAAAAAACTAAAATAATGTGGTTGCATAAATGTGCACACCCTCTTATAACTGGGGATGTAGCTGTTTTCAGAATTAAGCAATCACTTTCAAAATCATGTTAAATAGGAGTCAGTGCACACCTGCCATCATTTAAAGTGCCTCTGATTAACCCCAAAATAACGTTCAGCTGTTCTAGTAGGTTTTTTCTAACATTTTCATAGTCGCATCCTACAGCAAAAGCCATGGTCCACAGAGAGCTGCCAAAACATCAGAGGGATCTTATTGTTAAAAGGTATCAGTCAGGAGAAGGGTACAAAAGAATTTCCAATGCATTAGATATACCATGGAACACAGTGAAAACAGTCATCATCCAGTGGAGAAAATATGGCGTAACAGTGACATTACCAAGAACTGGAAGTCCCTCCTAAATTGATGAAAGACGAGAAGAATACTGGTCTGGGAGGCTGCCAAGAGGTCTACAGCAACATTAAAGGAGCTGCAGGAATATCTGGCAAGTACTGGCTGTGTGGTACATGTGACAACAATCTCCCGTATTCTTCATATGTCTGGGCAGTGGGGTAGAGTGGCAAAATGGAAGCCTTTTCTTACATAGAAAAACATCCAAGCCTGGATAAATTTTGCAAAAACACATCTGAAGTCTCCCAAAAACATGTGGGAAAATGTGTTCTGGTCTGATGAAACCAAGGTTGAACTTTTTGGCCATAATTCCAAAAGATATGTTCGGCGCAAAAACATCACTTTTCTTCAGTTGGAACTGGGGCTTTAGTCAAGGTAGAGGGAATTATCAACAGTTCCAAATACCAGTCAATATTGGCACAAAACCTTCAGGCTTTTGCTAGAAAGCTGAACATGAAGAAGAAGTTCATCTTTCAGCATGACAACAACCCAAAGCATACATCCAAATCAACAAAGGAATGGCCTCACCAGAAGAAGATTAAAGTTTTGGAATGGCCCAGCCAGAGCCCAGACCTGAATCTGAAAATCTGTGGGGTGATCTGAAGAGGGCTGTGCACAGGAGATGCCCTCACAATCTGACAGATTTGGAGTGTTTTTGCAAGGAAGAGTGGGCAAATATTACCAAGTCAAGATGTGCCATGCTGATAAGACTCATACCCATAAAGACTGAGTGCTGTAATAAAATCAAATAAAATCAAAAGGTGCTTCAACAAAGTATTAGTTTAAGGGTGTGCACATTTATGCAACCATATTATTTTAATTTTTTATTTTTCCTTCCATCCACCTAAAAGATTTCAGTTTGTTGTTCAACTGAGTTGTACAGTTTATAGGTTACATTAAAGGTGGAAAAAGTTCTGAAATAATTTATCTTTGTCTCATTTTTTTACATCACAGAAACCTGACATTTTAACAGGGGTGTGTAGACCTTTTATATCCGCTGTAAGTTATATTAGTCAAGAGGCTCATGTAAAATGGATTTGTCTGGGTTGACGATACAACTTGTTCACTTGTGATTCTTATGTCGGGACAAAAGTTAATAAAAAAATCTTATTTGAAATGTTAATCTATGCTCCATACTTTATTTTTGAAGATAGATTCATCCTAATAGAAATAGAGATCATAAATAAAAAAAAGTCAATATACTACATCTGTTGTCTATCAATAACAACATTTAGTGTATATATACTACATCTTGTGTGTGACTGAACATACATTCTCTGTACAGGTGATGTTCTACTTAGTATAAATGGAACCGACCTGACTTGCTTGAGCTATATGGATGCAGTTTCTGCTCTGAAGTGTAATGCTGCTTCACACACTGTGGTCCTGAAGGTCTTGGAGCTATCACCCCCAGAGCGACAAGGAGAGCCTATGGAAGGAGGTGCTGAGAGCCTGAGGGACCTTGGCGGCATCTGGTCTCCACTATGGATACACTGGCTTGGCCTTCCAAGGTATGTTGCTTGTGCATTTCAGTTGCATAAATAATACAAAATAATGGTTAAAGTGTTACTAAACCTAGGACCCTGCATTCACTATATTTGGTCTCTCACAAAACATGGAAGTGCAATTATTTTAGTAAATATAAACTATATATAGCAGTCTTGTGACTTCTATCAGTGTCCAGCACAGCACATGTTAAAGCTTGTAGGAAGAGTTTTCATTCTGCTGTAGGAGGATGCAGAACCCCTAACCTCTGTCTGGACAGTACTGATCGGTCCTGTGCTGATCACATGCACTCTCCCAAGAAAAAAACAACTTCTCTAGCAATACACACCAAACTGAACATGTGCATAGTGTCTCCACATTGTCTTATCAGGAGATAAGAGGGGGATACTGGAAGTAGGAAAGGATCAGAAAAGGCAGGATCAAACAGCTTTTTTTACACAATGCAGAGCATTAACCTATTAGGTTCCATAGTGAGTATAACAAGCATGTTTTACTGCATATACAGACTGATTTTACTGTTTTGGGTTTAGTAACACTTTAAGAGAACACATGTATAATTGTTATTATATTTAAGGAATGCACACAGCTGACTCACCCTGCTCTTCCCTCAAAGTAGGAAAACAGAACTGAACCACAAAGTTTTGCAAAAAACACTGAAACAAGAGGTTAAATTAAATCTGTAGCGGATGCTCAATGGATGCTGCCATTACTGATTGGTTATCACACAGAATGAGTACTTTGGGTAACAAGTCTGGAACAAGTAAGCAGATTAGCAGTCCAGACCTCCCTTCCTGTCTGAGAAATGCATATGAATTTTTTTTATTTACTGTGTGTATGTATATGCATGTATGATATATACAGTATATCTTTTTCTGGGAAACTTGAGCTTGGCCACCCTTTGGGTCAGTGAGTCTGCCTATTACATTAAGGCCATTCACACAATAATGCTGTGCATTGCAATGCATGTTACATTGTGGTGCATTAGACAGCCTCTTCAAAATTAATGAGTGAAATGCACAGAAAATTGAGCAGGCTGCATTTTATCACAGCACATTGCGCAGAGCATGCATTGCGCTGCAGCACACGTGAATTAGTAGGGAGGCATGCACAATGAATAACACTGAGAGGCACCAATGCATGCAACATGTTGAACATTGCTGCAGCTCTGTGGTGAGAATGGGCCCTTAACCACTTGCTGTCCTGGGCAATTTTTTTAATTTTTCACATGCATGTTAAAATAAGTATTTTTTGCTAGAATATTACTTTGAACTCCCAAAAATTATATATATTCTGAAAGTAGAGACAGGATAGAAGAAAATGCTGGCTGTTGCAATTTTTTTGGCACAAGATATTTGTGCAGCCATTTAACAAACACAATTTATTTTTCTTAGGAAAAAACTATACTAAAATGAATTTTAGTGCACACAGACACAAAATAATACCCACTTTTTTAGTATAATATGAAAGAATATGGTGCATCGAGTAAATAGATACCAAGCATGTCAAGATATAAAATTGCGCATGCCAATGAAATGGCAATAAACTAGATTACCTAAAAATTTCCATATGTGAGGTTTTAAAAGCCCTTACAGGATATATCAGTGTAGAGCCAATCGTGAGTTATGCCCCTAGAAGTTTTGCTCTTACTCTGGCGGTCGTGGTGATACCTCATGTGTGGTGCAAGTATTGTTTACATATGCATGCTGGACCTATGCATGCTTTTGCCTTTGCGTGTATTTGCAGGGAGTTTAATTAGTTAAAATTATTTACAGGTACTTTTTATAAAAAGACATTAGCCCTGATGTCTCCCCTTCCCTCTAAAGCAGCTAATCAAGTACAGATCGTGCTTGGTTAGCTGCTTCCCTGGCTGTAACATCCAGGTAATGACTGTTCTGAAAGTAGACTTAATCATCTTCACTTCCAGGTTCATTTGTGAAAGAGGAGATTGGAGTAGTGATGTTCCTTCATCTCCTCTGTGAAGCTGTCTCAGCCACATACAGCAATCTCATGCTCCATGGAGGATTTGAAGAGTCTTGGAACCACTATGGATGGTGCCGCCATGATCCTGCAATAACCATTTGCTGACAGAATGTCAGTCAGCTTGTGGATAAAGAAGCAAAAACAGAAGGCTTGAAAGGCAGGAAGGGTCAATATTAGATGTTACAGAGAAAATCGGCATATACCAGTAATACCCACCTTTCTTAGTCATACAGTACAGGGCGCAGCCTCTTTATTGATTAACCATGGCTTACAGTGGGGAAAATAATTATTTTATCCCCTGCAGATTTTGTAAGTTTGCCCATTTACAAAGAAATGAAGAGTGTATAATTTTTTATCATAGGTGTATTTTAAATGATAGAGACAGAATATCAACCAAAAATCCAGAAAAAAACATGGTACAAATGCTATTCTTGGCTGTCGCATGGAAACTCGAAGTTCCAGCTCCCTCCATAAATTTTCTGTAGGATTAAGGTCTGGAGACTGGCTAGGCCACTCCACGACCTTAATATGCTTCTTCTTGAGCCACTCCTTTGTTGCCTTGACTGTATGTTTTGCGTCACTGTCATGCTGGACCCATCTTCAGTGTTCTGGCTAAGGCAAGATTTTATTTAAAGGTTTTTATCCAAGATTTTACAACACATGGCTCCATCCATTGGCCCCTCAATGCAGCAAAGTTGGCCTGTACCTTTAGCAGAGAAACAGCTCCAAAGCAGAATGTCTCAACCTCCGTGCTTGACTGTAGGGATGGTGTTCTCGGGGTCATAGTCAGCATTTTTCTTCCTCCAAACACGGCAATTCGAGTTAAAGCCAAAGAGCTCAATCTTGGTCTCTTCTGACCACAGCACTTTCTCCCAATCCTTCTCCAAAAACATCAGACGGGCCTGTACATGTGCCTTCTTGAAGAGTGGGACCTTGTGGGCGCTTCATGGCGGTGTATTGTGTTACCAATGGTTTCTTTGGTGACTGTGGTCCCAACTGCCTTGAGATCATTCATAAGTTCCTCCCTTGTAGTTCTGTGCTGATCCCTCACTTTTCTCATGATCATCCTTACCCCATGAGGCAAAATCTTGCATGGCGCTCCAGACCAAGCGATTGATGGTTATTTTGTATTTCTTCTATTTGCAAATAATCACTCCACCAGTTGTTTCCTTCTCACCAAGATTCTTGCTGATGGTTTTGTAGCCCATTCCAGCCTTGTGCAGGTCTAAAATCTTGTCCCTGACATCCTTTGACAGCTCTTTGGTCTTGCCCATGGTGGTGAGGTTTGAATGGAAGAAAGAGATTCTGTGGACAGGTGTGTCTTTTATACACATAACGAGGTGTCATTAGGAGTACCTTCTTAAATTGACAGAACTAATTTGTGTACCACGTGAGCACGTAGCCAGTCTGTGTTATTGCTGGTTGGTAGGGGATTCAAATACTTATTTTACTGACTGAACTGAAACTCAATTTATAACATATCTATTGTGTTTTTCCTGGATTCTTGGTTGATATTCTATCTCTAATTTTTTTTTCATAGGTGTATTTTAAATGATATAGACCCTTCATTTTTTTGCAGGGGGGCAAACTTACAAAATCTGCAGGGGTATCAAATAATTATTTTCCCCACTATATACATTTTTTTGCAGGGGGGCAAACTTACAAAATCTGCAGGGGTATCAAATAATTATTTTCCCCACTATATACATCACTTCATAAGCTGCAGGGAAGATCCCATCTATAATTCTGAAAGTCAAATCAGGAAAAGACACCTTTGGCTAAGATCTTGTTAAAGCTTAAGGATACCAATGCTTGTAATTAACTAGGCTTTTGTTTAGTGTTGAAGCAGCCCACGCCTGCTTACTCCAAGGTTCCATAAAATACCTTGAGCAGCTACTCTTTGAGGGAAAGCACACATTTGGTCTGTCCTTGGACAAGTACATCAAGTGGATTTCCAGGGGTTAAAGTACTCCTCTCCTCCAGACAAGGCCTTGCACTCTTTTGAGGTAGTTGTTTTACAACTGGGACAACTTTGAGGCCTCCACATCATAGTCTAACGCACTTTCATCTGTAGACATGGTCTTCTAAGCCAAGCCAAATCTGGCTCCAAGCCTTTTTCTCTCAATCAAGTGCCCCCACTTATCAGAGTGGGTGAATATTGTGATCCTTTATGGTTCTGGTGATCATTGTACCCAGCTGGCCCAGAAAGATGTGGTATATGAACTTTCTCAGGCTCCCTGTGAGCCAGATCATCCAGACCTTCTGTTCCAAGGGCTGGTCCTCCATTGTGCTTCTCTGTTGCCGGCTTTAAAGGCTGTTGAAACAGGTCATAGTTAAACATGTCAGTACTACAGTTTAGTCAAATGGGATTATTATGCAGGCAAAAAGGTATCCTTTTACTGTCTTTCCCATCCTGGTTGAAGCAGGATCACAGAGACAGTGTAGTGTGGAGAGAAGAGAGCCAGATTGTAGAAGGGGTCATTTTGAAAGCGTAGAACAGTGAGGAAGAGATCTGCAGTATAGAGCCAAGGAAAAAAAAGAGCCACAGTGGAGAAGTGGAACAGGAGTAATGATAACATACATCCTGCAGTACAGAGGATATGGGGGGGGAGAGCCAAAGTGAAGCAAGAGAATAATACAGACTACAGTGCAAAGCCTGCATCACAAATTCAGGAAGAAGGAGCCACAGTGTAGTAGTGGCACTGGGAATCTAGCACACAGCCTGCAGCACAGCAACAAGGAAAGAAGGAGCTACATTAGAAAAATGAGGGGGCAGAGAAGCAGGTTGAAGGAAGGAGCTACAGTGAAGCAGGGAAATAATGTAGATGGCAGTGCAAAGCCTGTCAAAGCAGGGGTAGAATGAAGGTGTGAACTGGGAAGATGGCAACAGAGAACAAAGGGAGAAGGAGATGAAGCCACAGTGAAGAGAGTGGGGAAATGTCAGGGTAAGAGGAGAGATTGAAGTGAAATACTGAGGAAGAGAACAGAGAGGGAGATGATGCTTTTTTCTTAAAGGGGGAATAAAGCTGAATTGTGTTCAAGAACCCTCCAGTACTGTTGACATTAAAAGCCCTATAGTAGATAAGTCTCTATAGTATAGGATTGTAATATTGTCCAAATATTTTTCAAGTAAATGATGTGTGATTGTTTGCTAGTGTGTCACTGGAACAATTTTTATATGAATCTAATAAGACCATGATTGCTTTTCCAACAGCTCCTTGCATTGGTGTCGACACATTTCTTTACGGAAGAGTACCTTTGAAAGCTGGGGGTTCAGCATTGTTGGTGGCTATGAAGAAAACAAAGGGAATCAGCCATTCTTCATTAAAACCATAGTACCAGCTACTCCAGCATTTTATGATGGGCGATTAAAGTAGGTGGAAAGTTTTCAGTAAAATAAACTTCTGAATTGCATGTGTGCTGGATAAATGCATGGCCAGGCTACATTTTGAAATAGTGTCACCTGACCTCATTTCTTCTTTGTAGTTTATAGTAACTGGGTTGGACGCAGCAGCCTTAGAGGATGAGCCTTTCTTTAAATTGCATGCTGATATTTTTCCCAAAAGAAAAGTTCTGTCACAAAGATGTGTAAATACATAGCTAATGGCCATGCTTGGGATCTTGCTGGAATCTTTGAAATCTCTGAAACTGCGACAGCCAAAGTTTCTGAAAGTTCTTGGAATGTACTTATTCATTTCTGTAATGTGTAACCAACTAATTGGATGTTCTGTAACTACAGCCAATCAGGAAATTCTGATTTGGTCATGTGATAGTGTCAGAATTCCCTGATTGGCTGCAGCTACAGAACATGTTGAGAAATGTGTTGCCCTGGGAACAGTGGTGGTGAGAGAGAGGCTTGGTAAGCAGGAGAGTCAGAGGCAGCAGCAGTGAGTTTGCGAATACATTTTATCAGACTGAGTTGGCTCTGACTCACCTGTAGTGTTTATCAAACTCTCTTCTTTCAGACACAAAGGCTGACTCTTATGCTGAACCTTTCAGTTTTGGAAGGTTCCATGTGGTGTTTTATTGCCGTGTTTCAATGTCTGCCTGTGCATATCTGACTTGGCACTTATCCTGGAGTTGTGCATCTTATCCTGGAGCTGTATTTTAGCAGAAATAGGGAAGGTGGTGTGGACAACTTTTAGACTTTTTTTTTAATGCTTTTAAGTGAGACCCCATTGTAAAGGTGATGGTGTTGTATTTTTTAAAGCTTTAGTTTTGTAGATTTTATATACACATTTTTACTGTAAACCATTAGGACTTCTTCACACTTCTATGTAGAAAACATAGTGTGCAGGAAGTGTCGGTTCTGACCTGCAAAGTCTTGCAGTTTTAAAGCACTGTGGTGCATTCAAACACAGAGAGAAGTGGTGCATGGAAAACGCAGGCAGTACAGATTTCTGCGCTGTACCACAGCACACCTGAAGGCTGCATTCGAGTGTGAACACGGCACGTTTAAAACAGTTTTCTGTGTGCCGCCATAGAGACCTGCGGTTTCTAATCCTGAAAATAGCAGGTCTATGAACTAGCCCTTAAGGCTAGCCATACAGAGAAGGAAAAGGAGCGCAGCAGAATGCACACAGTATAATAAAGTTTCAGATGTTGTGGGACCACAGCTATGTACTCACTATGGCATCTGTAACATGTTTACAAACATTTCAGGCAAGGAATACCTGTGCCCTGATTGGGTACTGGTATCTCCCCCCATTTGGTAGCAGATTTAGAATTAATTCTCAGGCTGTGGGGCTGCTTTCTGTCCAGCCCTAGTTCACATAAGTATAGTGGCAGGACTCAAGTCACTGGCTGCCAATCCACCAAAATACGATTGCAACTTCCTATCCTCTTTCCGCTCCCAGGCTGCATTGTCCAATCAAGTGGTGGGGAGGAGAGGGATCCATTGTGGCAGCCAGTATGAGTGGGCTGAGTTGTTTCTTGCCATGTGTGGCTCTCCTTTGAGTTGCAGCCAAAAGTGACAAGTGGGGCTGCAGCTCAGGAGTCAGGAAAGCGTTGTGGCTGAGGACAATGTGTACAGTGCAGAGTTAACCCAATTCCCTTTCAGGCCCGTGGTGCCTTGCACACATGAAGGTATTCCACTACCTGTAATGGTTATCATCCAGGTAAACAAGATTCCTGTAGGAAAGGCTTTGCCAGTAGCCTTATGTGCTTCGGTATGGAAGGATGTAGAACAGAGGGCAATTTTTAGTAGTAAAGAAAAGTTGAATTGTTATCACATTTTTGTTTGGCACATATAATATAGTAATTGGTTTTGCTTTTCATTTTTTGTCTAGGTGTGGCGACGAGATTGTTGAAGTCAATGGTGTGTCCGCTGTGGGAATGAGTAATGCAGAGCTGATCCCTATGTTGAAAGAGCAGAAAAACAAGGTCACACTAGCAGTGGTCTCCTGGCCTGGGAGTCTAGTATAGGTCAAGAACTGTGCAGAAATCTGAGACCTTTTGGAAACCTTACTGTGCCCATGGTTCCCCCATGAAGCCACAAAGCCGACAACCCATTTTTAAGGACAAGATTTAAAATATTTAGTGTAGATATCTGAATCAAAGATGCAAAGCTTCACACTAAGTATAAAACTGATGTTTTTCTTGCAAAAATGATAAATTGCCATTTTGGAGTAATAAGATACTTACATTGAATAAGGATAAAAGGGACATTATGCACCTTAGATAAAAGGGTTATTAATTATCATTCACACAATCCACTGAACTTGCACTTTCCACCTTCAGTGATCTCCTAATGATTTTAATGTATCATTGGTAAATGAAGTTTGCTGTTACACAGCATTGTTATTTTACAATAAGTAATGTTGCCTTAATTTTTCTAATTACCTGGTATGTCTACCTACTCATTTTGCCTTTAATTTATATAAGGGGTACCAACTGGTACTAGAAAGGGGTTTCAGTAGATGATTAGGTAATTTGTGTTGTCTGCAGCTGCCTGTCTAATGATTTTTTTTTTTAATGAAACAGGCTTGTGTAGTACATGCTGGTCTCTGGCTTGGGTCTGTCATAGTCAGTCAATCTTCTGAGTTTAATTTTACCAACCTATTGTTAGTGTGGATTAAGCCATTTTATAACTAGTAAATGTTCTCTGGTACCCAGATGCTGGCATTTATGTAAATGTGTGTGATGCTAAATCCATTGAATGCAACAAATGAAATAGAGACCTCCTGTGAAGACCTTTTTTTTTTTTTTTTTTTTTTTTTTTAATAGGGCACAAACACAGGTGTAGAATATCCTCGAACCTGTAAGCACTGACCTTCACTTTACCACACTTAGGTTGAGTTGCTTTGCAAAGGAAATTTCACTTGGGGAAAGTGGTAGAAATTAACTTTGCAAAGAATACACAATTGTGTAAGGAAACTGGGGGGGGACAGGAATTTTGCTTGCATGACTGGATGGTTGAAGCTGGGACAGATTCACTAAGCCAAGTGAAAAGTCTCTTTAACTTGTAAATCAACCGCCTTGACTATAAATTTGAACTCCATGTTTTCTGTCACCTTAAAAAAATTTTTTGGACAACTTCACTCTAAGGAATGCTTACCTTTACAGAATGTTGAAGCTACTGTGGCTGTGCTAAATACAGTTAGCTTTGCTCTTTTTCTGCCCAGGTCCCAGTAACTTCCCTTCTGCTCCCTGATAGAAAGAGTCAGTCCTACGGCATCTCAGCAATCCAGGAACAGCCTTGTATATGTTATCAATGAATATATGGCATTCTCCGATTGGCTGAGGTGGAGCCTGTGATGTAATCTGTCCTACTTCTCCACATCAGCCAATCAGAGAACACCTAGTATTCATTGTTAAAAAATACAAGTCTGTTTCTTTCCAGGCGCAGAAGGGAGGCTGCTGGGACCTGGGCACGAAGACAGGACAGGTTATGTATGTAGTACAAGCTGCTAAAATGTATTACACTCTCTGGAGTGCTCTGTCAAGTGAAATATTCCCTTGAACCAAGCTGGCCCCCCCAAAAGTGACAGGAAACATGGAATTTGGCTTTAAAGCTGTGGGTCTGATGGAGGCAAAACTACTCTATGAAAATTACACAAAACATTGCCAGCAATTAACTGTGCACCACAAATTACCTAATTAAAAACAAGTAGCTACTGAGTGGTCCTGATTCACAAAAAAAAAACACCATCTCAGGAACAAATTAAAATGGATTTTGTAAATTGTGAAATAAAGTTTGGATTAAAAACAATTTTGTCAGAAGCTTTATTTTATTGTAGTGCAGTCAATGCTCAGGATATTAAAATTGTAATTTCAGTGTACAGGTTTTGCAGAAATTGACAACCAAGCACATTTAACACCAAATTGTATTTGCTAAGTATCTATAAAAATAGTGACTTACGCAAGCAATGGAAAACTTTGTTGAACAGTGTGCCAGTACTCTCTGCCCAGCTGGCATATAATGTATGGCACTGGTGGGCCAGCCCCCCTTCTGCTTAATTGAAGACCACCAACTTGATGGGTCTTTTCTACATATTTATTTATTGCACTTTAAAAAGAAATTAGACCCCTAAGAAACAGGATGAGAGGCAACGCAGCTCTTGGAGAAAATGAATTTCATTAAGGAAACCAATTGGAATCATTTCCCCACCATTTTTGTGTTTAACTTACAGTATGTATTGTAAGGACTTGTTCAGCCAATTATTTCATTAAAAGCAGGTTTTCAGATGGGTATTTGTGATCATTGGAGGGAGATCTGAAAACTAGGATAAAAGGAGGTTTGCACCAGTTCCATAAAATCTGCTGCTAATATGTCAACCAGCACCAGGTTTAGCCTGTATGCAAAAACACGTTGTTAATCTTATCCTAGATGTGGATGCTCCATACCCTTAGTACTGCATTGTTTATCCCTTACATGCAGAGAAACTCTGTACTCATACTTTTCACACGTACAATATACCTGCAGTGTATCACTTGTGCGGCAAAGTTTTAGTTTTAGTGTACAAATAAAACCAGATATAGCATTACAAAATTGACAAACCTGTAATTAAAAGTACCCCCTTTAGAACAGGTTTCCCAGCCAGGGTTACATGGAACCTTAGGGATTCTTTAATCAATAAGCAATTTCTGCCTATCAGATAATTTCCTATTGACACCATTGATCTTTTTAGCGATCTATAAGGGGGCAATTCTTCCCTATGTCTGCACTAGTAAGGAACATTCTCCCCCCTGTCCACACTGTTGTACAATGAGCTGTAGATAAAAGTATTTTTTTTTTTTTTTTTTTTTAGCAGGGGTTCTCTGAGATCAGAAAGTTATTTCAAAGGTTCCTCTGTGTTGAAAATGTTGACAAACGCTACTTGTAAACATGTGGATTGCATCTTTAGCAGCACTGTTTGAAGTCCTGTATTGGCCATCCATATGTGTCAGTGACTTACAGAAATCTCCTTTACTATGACTGGGATGGCTTGTATTTCCATGATGTAAGAGGTGCCTTTCCCCCCCATCATGCAGTTGCAATCTACATTTAGTACAAAACGTCTTCCTCTATCTATAGACAACTTTAGCCAACACAGCTGGACCTCTCAGAGGCTGCTAAAATGCTACAGTAAGGGGGAAAAAAGAAACAAGAAGAAAAAGAATTGGGAAGAACACATCACTACAGTACATGAACTCCATAAAGGCAAAGCTGATCATTTAGCTAATGCCAGTTATATGTACACACAGCAACAATCTAGAACGTGGAACCACTTTCAAGCACTATATCTTTTGACAAGGAATCAAGGTAACCTACAGTTTATAAATCTACATACACAGTACGATGTTGTCTTAATCCATTGGATTATTTCTAGACCATTTGGTTTGTGTGTACAGAATAACTGCTCGTGAAACAGACAATTTTACCTTCAGTGACTGTAGTTTTATTGTTTTACACAGACACACGATTCACATTAAGATGAAAATATATCAACGTGCTTAAACATAAATAGTTTCCCAATAAATAAAACATTAAATACAGTGAGTTAACCTTTTTTATACCCCTTAGTTTCATTCGGACATTTTTTTCAGAAACTCCCAGGTACAGAAAATGGTACACATATATACAAATGAGTATAAACAGAAAATGATAAAATCCAAACATCAACAGGGCAACAATTTCACCTTTCCAGTTTGAGGGGTGAAGCAGCCCAACACCCAAAAATCCTTATGTTGTGTATCTATTCTCCTTAAACCTCTCTGTTCTAGCACTATGTACTTTGTTTCTGCACATGCACTGCATTCAAAACAATCTAAATTCCCTTTTCTCCACATAAAAAGGAAGTGTTAGAATTCACTTGTCAGAGATAGTCACAGAAGTTAGAAAAACATTCAGCCTCAATTGGTCACCACTGACCACAACCAGTCCAATTTACAATAGCTCAATAGTTCAGCTCAATAGTTTTAGGATGGATTGATTTTTAATTATCTCTTGTTTTTCAATAAGATATCAGCCCATTTATTGGCAAGCATTAATGGAAAAAATAATGCTTCAATTAGAATAGAAACAGTGCAGTTGTGGTATCTTGCAATAAATCCCGATATGAAGGGTCCACTGATTATCATGCTTACTGCTCTTTGCATCTGAGCAAATCATATACTTCTACACTGCACTAGAAAAAGGACTGGTGTAAAGAAAGTGTTATTTCCATGAGCCAGTCTTCTTAACAGCCAAAAAAAGGCAAAGTCAGCTGATCATCTTCCTATTAACAGTATTTTGCCAGTTCCTGTGTAGATATTTAAAGGAAGGGATGGGCAACCTGCAGTAGACAGATCCTAATGATATTTTCATAGCAGCAGTAAGTTCTGCATATGCTGCAGATTAAAGTTCATGTGAGAAAATGCAGTAAAAGGAAGCTTACCTAGAACACCATGAAGGTTCCAATTCATACTTCAGGATTATCTTCCCTGCTTTAGAAGTGCATAGTTGGCAAAGGAATTCTTTCAGCTAGTTCAGCTCTGAATTCTCATTCAATACAAGGTAATAGTTCTAATTCCTGATCATCACACATCTCCAAAATATACACTGGAGAGTTAGACACAGTAAAAGGAGTAGGCACAATGCTTCATGGCTAATTATGCTCATGCTTTCTTTCATTCTGTCACCTGTGGTACCAGTTGCTGTCATACTTTTCCCACCCTTGATGTGCTTGACAGCATATGGAGTTGATACAGTGGTTTACTCCTGTTGATCATGCCGGTTTCCCTGTGTGGAGCCATCTTCATCCGCACTCTTCTCTTCTTTTCCTCGTTTGCTCTTCTTACGCTTATGGCGCCGGTGTGTTTCTTTTTCTTCACTGTCTTGCTTCCTAAGTTGCAAGAATTAATACTACATATTAAACAATGGCCATATATAAAAGTACATTGAGTTTTATAAAAAATTACTTTATCTATTAATGTTCCTGTACACACACAAAAAAAAACAAACA